CAAAAATTTTGAATTTCAAATTCTAGTCGGCAATTTTGAAGATTACACCCTCCCATGATTTTTTTTGTGATCGTCCCTGTGTAATATCTCTCAATGTAAGTACTTGTTACCGGCATGAGCCTGACCCTTAAAATTTAAATTCAGACAGAGTCGGGATTTTTTTAAACGAGTCATGGACCCCGAGTCGGGCATTTAAAATTTTTAAATCTATTACGATACGGGTCGTATTTTTTCAGAATGTAAAAAAATTTATACAAAAATTCAATTTCACTGATAAAACATTCATTAGGGACGAGCCGGGCTTTGAATAATATTTCACAGCCGAACGTTTATACATGGCGTTTTTTAACTTACATTGCTTAAGTTTATATGCACCGATCGCATTAACCCATACGGGCCCTCGTCTGTTCGGCGTGTATGAACTTAAAAAGTGTAATTCGAAAACATTGTGGACGATACACGCAGCTGTGAAACGGGCCTTATACGAGTACGTTAGCAGATAATCCGGACCAAGCCGGGCCTAACATTTTTGGCGCGTGCAGACCATAAATAAATACGTTAAATTAATGTAAAGACGTTAAATAATGTGAATAAATAAATCGGTTGTCCGACCAAGATAATATTATATATGTAGCAGGGGTGTAATTACGAGGTGGGGTATGGAGGTTAGCTCCACCTATGAATTGTATTTTTATATTGTCTTAAACTTACAAATAGCTCAAATACAAACTTATAAATTATTAAGAAACTAAAAAAAAAACCGGTTATAAATATTTATCCGTAAACGTCTATGTTTTCTTTAATACACCAATATGTCAAAATGTTCTTTTAACAAACATTGAAAATAGTAATGAGGATCTTAAGGTTAAAACTTTAAAAAGATTATGTGTTACAAGATGGGTGCAGCGTTATGATGCGGTAACAGATTTCATTGAACTATTTGCATTCGTAGTTGAATCATTAGAAAATATTTCTAATTGAAATGATTCCACTGCAACGGAAGCTAAAAATAGCTACTATTAAAAGCTATTGATTCAGAATTTCTTATATCCTTACAAATTATACAAGTAAATAGTAATTAATAAATATAATTTATTTTATTTTATAATAAAATATTTTTCTAGTTGGTTTTTTCTTTTGGATTACCATTGTGTAAGTTACTACAAAAAGAAAAAAAATTGATATAAGAGAAGCAGTAAGCCATGCTGAAGATATTATTGTATTGAAAAATATCAGATTAAATTGTGATGCCGAATTTCACAAATTGTTTTTGCTTGCAAAAGTAAGTACACTGAAATAAAGTATATTATTATATGAATTATATGAAAAGAATTATGTTTATATTTGACATTTGTAATCAGGGCCGGATCTTAACTTTTTAACACCCAGGGAAAATTAAAAATATACGCCCTTTTCAAGAAATTTCAGAAAAATGACCAGAATCATTATTTTTTTTTTTTTTTTTTTTATGAAAAATCAAGCATACTCACAGTAGCGTGAGCACCAACCATTTATAAAGCCGTTTGTAGTACACTGGACCAATAAATTATATGTATATATGTATATGCAAGAAAACAATGTAATTTACCATACCTACTTTATTATATCACTTATTGGAGAGTAAATCTACACATCGAAAAATCTAATAAAATTCCAAAAAAAGTTTGCCTTGCGGTTCGCGGACTTCATAAAATTCCATAACAAATACCTACTAGATATTCACAAATGTTCTTAGCAAAAAAATGATTGACTACATGTCTACGTCATACAGATTACTAAAACTAGTAATATTGTTAATTTTTTGTTGTACTAACCTGAGTACTAATGACTGAGCACTGACGTATTTTAACTGTAGCGGTGTCAAAATTAAAATTGAATTTAGCATAAATGTATAAAATAAACTGATTTTATAAACTAATACAGGCTATATTATTAATATAACACATTAAGAGGACGCTTCACATGTATAAATTCGTCCGTAAAAACCGTTTCACGCGGGATAGAACCACTCAGACTGTAATAATTTTTAAGACTCCAAATTTATATACAATATAGCTAAAAACATTATCTGTAAAATATCGTTTTTATTTTTTTGATATCACTTATACGAAAAAAGTTCTTATTGTTTCAAAATCCATTATTTTTGTGTTTTTTAAATTTGGAAAACTTTTTTTGTAGTTCCGATATCGCAAAAATGAAAACGATATTTTACAGCTAATGTTCCCCTTTTTATGTGGTGAAAATTCCGTTTCTTAGTTATGACTGTAGCCTTCTTAGTTCTTTCCCGCGCGAAACAGTTTTTACGTTAAGAATTAAACTTTATTAAATATTTTTGGTTGTAATGTGCTGCTGCCTAAGATCAAGTGCACAACGAATACGATTTCTCCCACCACCATAAACTGAAATTATATTTGCCCGTATCTGTGCCGCACGCTGTGATTATCTATATTCAGCACGCCCGTAATAATTTCCAGGAATATTTTCGATATGAAATAATTTAATTTTAGTGACGACTTTCTATATAATATAGTATCTATTATTATATAATAAAAACAATGAAATAGAAATTGATAATATTATTATGGTGTTTCCTATACTTACAATGCGCGTCCCATATAAGCTAGTCTAAATAACTTATAGACTATAGCTAGACCTAAACGTGGGATGTCTTGTGAACAGTGATATTTATATTAGATATATTTGTGAATTTATTAGTACCTATATATTGGTTATTTAATTGTTGTTTTAAATAAATTGTGATCTATATATCTATATATAGTAAAAAATGTCACCGAAAAAAAATTTAACAAAAAAACGAAGTACTGGATTGAAAGCCGTACGACGGCGTATGAAACAAATAAAAAACAGTAAAAACCAACCGTAAGTATTTTTATGGTGCCATAATTTTGATTTTTATACACAATTAATGGCTTACAAATGGCTAGCTAACTACGAATTACAAATATGAAGGTAAGTAGGTACACATATTTTTATTCCAGATTGGTATTGTGTAAAGCAAATTTTCTCCAACATTGTTTTATTAATAATATCATTGTTGTCACATATTTCATATATTTAACTATTTTAATCCTATACGAGTATTGTTATAATTTTTAATAGTTCAGTGACTGATGAGAATATACTGACTGATATACCGGGTTTTAATGAAATATCTGCGATTGAAAGTTCAGGTGGCCTACCAAATTGTAGTGTTGAGAATTGTGACAATTATAGTAATATCAATACATTAAATTTAACTTCAAAAAGTCCACTCGCTCAATCAAGTTTTATAGAAATTTTATCGGAGAGTTCAATTATAAACTCCTTTCAAACTTATATTGAAACGCACATTGAGCAAACTTCAAGGTATCTATATTACACACAGTTAAAAACTTTATGTAAACATAATTTAAGTTTATTTAGTTTATTATTTTAGTTTTTTAATTTATTTATAAAATGTAGTTCGACACTCATTATTATTGATTATGTTAATATGTTTTTTGTATTATTTACACATCTTACAAATCTCGGAAAAATTGGTTTATATACTTAATACATAATTGAGAGTTGAAATATTATTATTTTTTGTGTATCGTAGGATTGGACGAAGAATTGTTGACATTTTTTACATTTTTCAACAATTGCAAAATAGTGTTCATGACATTGCATTCGGATGTTCTTTTATGAACTCTGAACTCGTAAAAGAAATTCGTAATGGTTATTTTTGTACGTGGACATTTAAATGTAAAATGTGTAATCTAATTACCAAAATTGAGTCTGAAAAAAGTGAATCATATATACCAATCAATAAGGCAATTGTGACTGCTACCGTTGGAATTGGAATAGGTTACACTCAACTTAGTGAATTTTCCGCGATTTTAGATATACCCTACCTTAGCACTAATACATACGGTAAAATATTCGATGAACTTAGTACAGTAATAGAACAAACGGCATGGGAACAGATGAGATTGGCCGGAATTGAGGAAAAGGAATTAGCGATAGAGGCTGGAGATATTGATACTGACGGTGTACCATTGTGCCCTGTAATTGCTGACGGTCAGTGGGGAAAACGGAGTTACAAGACCAAGTATAACGCGTTATCCGGAGCTGTAAGAATTTTTTTATCACATGATCGTATAAATAGCAAATTAGTTTAAATTATTATTGTATGATTGATATATAGGCTACAATTATTGGATTTCGTTCTAACAAAGTCTTATTTGTCGGAATACGAAACCGCTATTGTTGTATGTGTGAAAGAGCTCATACGTTAAAGTTGTCCACAAATGTTTTTTAAATTGGGACAAAGCTGCCACTGGTATGGAAGCTGATGGAATTTCCGAGGGATTTTCCAGAAGCATTGAGTTACATGGTTTAAAATTTAACAGATTAATTGGTATAATACTCTCAATTTTAAATATAATAAAAATACTTATGACTCAATAATAAATAATAGAAACATAAAAAAAAAATATAATTTTCATAGGAGATGGCGACAGCAGCGTATTAAAGAAACTATTAGAGATAGTCCCTTATGGACCACACCAATTGGTACAAAAAATAGAATGTCACAACCATTTGTTAAGAAACTATAGTACAAAATTATCTACATTAACAAAAAATACAATATACCCAACATATTTAAGACAGTTAATTAAAAAAAATATTATTAAATTCTGTGTAGCTATTCGAAATGCAATTCAATACAGGAAAAAATTAAATATTAACGATAATGCTAAAATAAAAGGTAATTAATTATTTAAAATATTTAAATTAAATAATGAGATATTTTTTTGATAAAAAAGGTAATTAATTATAATGCATTGTTTTTACAATATATTTTAGGACTTCAACAAGACATTTCCAACAGTCCTTATCATATTTTTGGACAGCATGCACAATGTGATATTTATTTTTGTAAAAAATCGGCTGTTTGTGAAAATCATGTACCAGCTATGGAAAGATGTGGACTTATGCGTGAAATTAACTCAGTTTTAAGAAGAGTGGTTGAAAATGCATCAAGTCTTATATATGATGTAACAAACAACGCTTGTGAGCAATTTAACAGCGTTATAAATAAGTATATTTCTGGGAAACGAATAAACTTTTCTTTAAAGCAATCCTACAATACTAGAGTTCAAGCAGCAATTATTTCCTATAATACTAGTGGTAATTTTCTTAGAGCGGTCCATAAAAAAGTGATGCACAAAAGTCCCGGTATAAAAAAAACTTAAATTCATACACTGTTCGTGTACTTTTATAATAATTATTACTGTAGTAAGAATGTGTTTATGTTTTAGGAATGGTTGGTAAAACATTTTTGACTTCCAAAAAGTATAAACACGAAAACTTAAAAAATAGACGTCTTTTTTGTTCTAAAAAATCAAAGAAAATGAAATACACCGGACCAGATGAATTTTATGGCCTTGCAGAACCGTTACCAATAGATGATAGATGTTCAATAGAAGAATTAGAATTAAAAAAAAAAAAATTTATTCAAGCAATTACTCTCTCAAAACATCAAAGGGATGCTTTGGAAATAGATACTAGACAACAAAATTCAAGTTCTAGGTGGTTTATGGAAAGGCGTAATCGTATAACAGCTTCTGACTTTGGAAAAATATGCAAGATGCGTCCAACTACGTCATGTAAAAATATCGTGTCAAATAAATTATACAGTACATCTTCTAATACGAACGAGCCGATAGCATGCAAATACGGTAAAGATATGGAACCAGTTGCCTTGGAATATTTTGAAAAAAATATTGGGATACCGATTAAAAAATGTGGTTTAATCATTGATGAAGATTACCCGTTCTTTGGAGCATCGCCGGGTGAGTTAAACTTAACCACGAATTTTTTCTCAAATTAAGACGTAGGTAAATACAAAATTTTGCATATTTTGAATCATTTTTACCATTATAAGTATTTATATATAAAAAAAAAAATTATAAACCTCTATCCTTTATGGTATTTTAATTTTAGATGGGCTTATTGGGAATGATAGTATAATTGAAGTAAAATGTCCGTATTCGGCAAAAGACTATCCTACAGTTGAAGAGGCTATCAAAGATAAAAAGGTAATACATAAAAGACATTACCACCAGACCACCTACAATATATTATATTAGTTACTACCTACAGCAATTTATTTTAAAATCCTTTTTTTTTTATACTAATGATTCATATACATAGGTGCAATTTGAATGGGACTTGGAGGGCATTAGTCTCTATAAAAAAGATATTTTAGCAGATGGCAGAATCTACCCCCACGAATTTCTTTTAAATATGTAAAGCCCTTCAAAACCAAAAATTGAAATTGCGCCATGTTCATATACCATGTACCTTGGTACTCGTACTTCTATAAATTATATTTTTAATTTAGATAAAATTCTTAAAATTAAATCAAAGTGGAGAAATAAGTTTAAAAACAGATGATAACTATTATTATCAAATAATTGGGCTGTTGAGAATTTCCAAAAGAGATATCTGTCATTTCATTGTGTATTCACATAATTGGAAACATGTTGAAGTCATTAAATATGATCCACAATTTTGGTTTGGTAAAATGGAATCTAAATTAAAAAGGTAAAATTAAATAAATATATATACTACACGTTCTTTATATTATTTATTACATATTACATGTATCATACAGGTTTTATTACGAATGTTTATTGCCGGAGATTGTAGACCCCCAGTTTGGCAAACGTTTTTTGACGAGCGACATTATCGACCCAAATTATATTATAACTGCTCAAAAGTGCAAAATAAATAAATAAAGAACATTTTATATTGTATTAAATATGTCTTAATTGTATACTTAATTAAGTCATTGAAAATACGAAATAAGACAATAATATTTATTCTATTAATTTGATATTATTTGCAATTGATCGGTACATGTTTTAATGATACTTATGCAATAATGTTTATAATTCTTATTTCTAAAAGATGGTTTAGTATATATGTTTATGGTTATTTATTTTTAAAACATACAACAAAATATATAGGTATATTATAAAAACCACATTAAAAAAACTTTTAGTTATACTGTATTATGTAATACGTGATAAGTATAAAGTAGGGATGGAATTTTAATGCCCTAAAAATCTTAAAAAAGGTCTTTAAAATAACCTCAAAAAATGCATTGAAATTATATTTAATATAGTTTAAAAATGGGGAAAAAAAA